AATAAAGTTGGGAACCAGCAGTTAGCGTAATGGCTATGTCGCTGGACTCCCATGTAGTGGACCGCGGTTCGCGTCCCGGACCCGGTGGCTTAAAACTCACGCTGGGCGTGTGTGTGTGCATGTCCAAGATCCCGAGAGGAGAATGGAGGAGAAGGGATTGCGGCGTGACCATCCCCCCTGGGGGGTGATTTCTCACTTTCTGTCTCTATGTCTCTCTCCGTCTGTCCGGCGAGCGCACGCGCCCTATAGCAAACACCGCTCCAAATAAATAAATGAATGAATGAATGAATGAATGAATGAATAAATAAATAAATAAAAATAATTCTTTTAAAACAAACAAACAAACACAAACCGAACCCACAGAAATGGGACTAGCAGGTGGCTAATAGCTACGTCACTGGACTCCTATGTAGGTTCGACTCATGCCAGGTGCGTGTGCAGGTGTGCCCAAGATCCTGAGAGGAGAATGGAGAAGAAGGGATGGCAGTGTGGCCATGCTCCCTTGGGAATGACTTCTCGCTTTCTACCTCTCTGTCCCTCTAGGGAGTGCACGTGCCCTATGGCAAACATCTATTAAAATAAAATGATAAATAAAGAGCCTGCCACCCCCAGAACGAAGCCCAGCACTAACTGTGGACTTTGGTGTTAGTGGTACGCTGGCGCGGGCTCCCCGGTGGTAAAGCATGCACCGTCCAGTGACGGATGTCCACAGTGGGGGCTATGCGCGTGTGCAGCGGAGGGGGCATACGGAACAGCTCGGTACCTTCCATGCAATTTGGCAGTGAATATAAACTGCTCTAAAAGATAAAGTCTATTAAAAAAAAAAGGCACAAGTTGTAATTCAGCTTTGTCAACGACAGCCGGCAGGACGGGGCGAACGATGCCGTGGCTGCCTGGCCCAGCTCACCTGGTGCACGTCCCTCCGGTGGTCGGCATCGTTGTTGCTGCCCCCGATCACGTACAGCTTGTCGCGGAGGGTGGCCATGCCGTGCCAGGCACGCCGCACGGGCCCGTCGGCCAGTGTGTGCCAGGCGTTGCTCCCCGGGTCGTAGCAGTGCGTCTCCTTGAGGTAGTCCTCCCCTCTGCGGCCGCAGGTAATGTACATCTTCCCTTCCAGGGTGGCACCTGCGTGGGCGTACACCTACAGGAGCCAGAGAGAGAGGTGGGAGGGGACACGAGGGTAGCCGGGGGGCACGGCCGGGTGGCTTCCCGCCAGCCAGGCTGCTCCCCACGCCATGCCTGCCCGATGGTGCTTCGTGGTGTCACTGTCAGACTCCTCCTTCCAGGCCAGAGAACGTCCCCTGGAATCTCACTGACCACGCTACCCTGGTCACCAGTCAGGGACCTCCTCCCTGTAAGGACACATGACTACAGAGTTCGAACAGAGTCTGTGTCTCCCTTTTGCCCCTAAAGCTAAGACCTGCATGAGGGAATCCCAGGCAAGTCAAAGCAGCCTTTTTCAGAGGCCCTGGGAACGGCTGCACGCCCTCTGTGGCCGCCGCCTCTCCCCGCCCATGGCCGGGAGCCCCAGGCCTGCTGATCTGCTCCTAGTCGGTGTGCAGATGGCATCTCCTCACACCACGCTCGCTTGTGGGTGAGGGGAACGGGGCCAGAGTGAGGAGAGAGCGCAGCTACAGGGGGGTCTTCGAAAAGTTCACGGAAGTGCCCATTAGGAAAAAATGGATTTCAAAATGTTAGAACCACAATTGTACTTTAACTCTATTCTCCACCAACTTTTTTTTTGGGGGGGGGAGACATTTTTTGCTATAGGGCACGCATGCTCGTGGGAGAGACAGAGAAAGAGAGACAGAAAGTGAGAAATCACCCCCCAGGGGGAAGGCCCACACTAAAATCCCTTCTCCTCCATTCTCTTAGGATTTTAGGCGCACACACACACACACACACACACACACTCAGCATGAGGGTTTTATTTTTTTTTTGGAGAGGTTTTTCGCTATCGGGCGCATGCGCTCGCCGAAAGAAGAGAGAGACAGGGAGACAGAAAGCGAGAAATCACCCCCCAGGGGGGATGGCCACGCCGCAATCCCTTCTCCTCCATTCTCTCGGGATCTTGGGCATGCACGCACACGTGCCCGGCATGAGTTTAAGCTGCCGGGTCCGGGACTTGAACTGTGGTCAACTACGTGGGAGTCCAGCGACATAGCCGTTACGCTAACTGCTGGTCCTCAAGCATGATTTTTAAGCCTCCGGGTCCAGGACTCAAACTGCGGTCAACTATGTGGGAGTCCAGCGACGTAACCAGTACGCCATTTGCTGGCCCCCGCCACAGATGTATTGAAGTCCCCCATAGAAAGAGCACTCCCCTTTAGTAATGAATGTGTGGCGGAGAGGATTCGGGGTCTTGGCCTTTCTCGGGCGTTCAACCCCCTCTTCGGCAGGCTATCCAGAGTCCAACCGTCATGCCAGCCCTAGGCCTCGGTACCCACTCACCCACCCAGCAGACCCACGGAAGGCCCAGGGCAGGGCACTGTGTTTGGGGAGAGAAGCTCCCGGGGGCTGGCTCTGAGTCTGTGTCACATAGGCCATGAGAGTGGCACAGGAGGCTAGAGAGGCGGACAGAGCAGTGAGGTCAGACGCGTGGGGTTTGGATCTCCACGGCGGTGGCCTGCGGACTTCTTCTCAATGAGCCTTTTCATTTGGAGAGAAGTCTAGGTTCACGTGTAATGGGGACCGGGAACAGGGAGAGCGGGCCATGCTGGTGCCACGCAGTCCGCCCCAGCGCTGAGGGCTGTGCGGCTGTGTCACGGCGTCACGGTCCAGGTGCTGATACCGAAGCGGTCACAGGTCACCATCACGAGGACCCCCACCTGCCCGCTGACGGTCACGCTCACTTCTCTCCTTAAGCCCCGGCAAGCACTAATCTCTCTGTGTCCGCAGTCCTGCCACGACACGACACCTACCCGAACGCAATCAGTACGCGAGCACGGCATCCCTCATCCGAAAATCCGAAACCTGAAATGCTCCACAATCCGAAGCTTTCCAAGTGCCGATATGATGCCAGAGTTGGGGAATTTCACACCCGACCTCAAGTGATGGGTCACGGACAAAATGCAGGCACGTGACCAGTTTATTCAGGGTCATCGAGGGGAATAAAAGGACCCCCAGATTCCTTCAGCTGTAGTCAATCTTTTCCAAGCACAATCAAAGTTTCCTGCTCAAGCGTGCTCACAAAGGGTTATTAAAAAAAAAAAATCTGGGGAACCAGCAATTAGCATAATGGCTATGTCGCTAGACTCCCACGTAGTCGACCGCGGTTCGCCTCCTGGACCCGGTGGCTTAAAACACGCCGGGCGCGTGTGCGTGCGTGCCCAAGATCCCAAGAGGAGAATGGAGGAGAAGGGATTGCGGCGTGGCCATCCCCCCTGGGGGGTGATTTCTCGCTTTCTGTCTCGCTGTCTCTCTCTGTCTGTCTGGCGAGCACATGCGCCCTATAGCGAAAAAAACCTCTCAAAAAAAAAAAAAATCTGAAATCTAAACTACTCCGGTTCCAAGCATTTGGGGTAGAGACGTTCAACTTGCATAACATCTAGCTTTCTACCGCGAACCAGGTGCTTCCGCATGGCTGTATGCACCGACCAGTTCCTTTCGTTGCTGGGCAGTGCTCTGTGTGTCCCCCCCACACAGTTTAACCGTTCGCTGCTGAAGGACGTCCGATTTGTTTCTAGTTCTAGTCCTGACTGCTGTCTCTGAAGATGCTAGAATATCTGTGCTCAGAGAAGTTCTCATGTCTCTGGGTTAGGTCCCAGGGTGGCAACTACTGGGTTGCAGGGGAGTTGGAAGAAACGGCCAAGCTCTTTGCCAGAGGCCCGTACCATTGTTTTTTTTAGACTTTTGGGAAAGAATTATTTAATTTCGTTTGTTATTATTATTCATTATTATTATTTAATTTGACCAGCGAGAGAAAGAGGGAGAAAAGTGAAAAAAAGGAAGCCACCAGGTCTGGGACTTGAACTGTGGTTGGCCCTGTGGAGGTCCAGCGCCTTAACCACCTGCCAGCCCTGGCCTCCCACCAGGAAAGGCATGAGCAATCCAGTTTCTCTGTACACTTACCACCATTTGCTGGGGTCACTTTTTAGCTATTCTTTTTTTTTGAGAGGTTTTTGCTATAGGGTGCGTGCGCTTGCCAGAGACAGAGAGAGACAGAGAGATAGAAAGCGAGAAATCACCCCCCAGGGGGGATGGTCTCACCGCAATCCCTTCTCCTCCATTCTCCTCTCGGGATCTTGGGCATGCACGCACACGCGCCTGGCGTGAGTTTAAGCCACTGGGTCCGGGACTCGAACCACAGTCGACTACATGGGAGTCCAGCGACACAGCCATTACGGCAACTGCTGGTCCTCGTCCCTGACTTCTGATCCATCACAGTCTAATCCGTTTCTCTCCGAATCTACCCACTTCCTTCCACGCTGGCACAGACGGTCACCCCCGTGGGCGTGGGACTGTTCCCTGGGCTCCTGCCCGAGCTCCTCCCCTGTCTTCCTCTCCTCCCCTCCTTCCCAGGGTCGACGGAGAAGCCCCTTCCTTCCCTCTGCAATGTCAGACTGGTTGGCGTCTCCGTAAATGGACCTTCCCACAGTCCTGCCAGAGCCCAGCCCGGGCAACTCCTCGGTTCGGCCCCTCTTCCCTTCCTCGGGCACTCACCACGGTTGTGACTACTTCCCTGATCGTTTAGTGGCTGAGAGCGTCTCTCCTCCAGGGGGGAAAGGTGTCTTTGTCATTTCTTGTCCCCACTGGACCCCTAGGCCTTGGGACTTGGTAGGCACTTCAGAAGTTGCAGGAGTGAATGCAGAAGGAAGGGAAGCTGGCAGCCAGGGTGGAGCTGGCTGCAGGCTGAGGCTGCCCCTCTGTGGCCAAGTCGAGAACTGCATCTCCCTGGCAGCCCCAGACAAAGGAACCCTGGAGACCCTGGGCCACACGCCCGGGAGCAGCGTCCGCTGCCCACCTGCCCTCCCCAGGCCTTCCTCACCCACCAGGTCTGCAAGACCCCTGATGCTTTCCTATGCAGGGTCTGCAACCTGGGGTGAGAAAGGTCCCTCCAAACAGGCCTCGGTCCCTGACAGGAGCAGGCGACAGCTGGCAGCTCACAGCTGTCCCTGAGAAACAATGAGGGGACCGTGCCTCAGGTGGAGGGGACTCCAGAAGGGAAATCCCACCCCACCTCCCAACCCCAGGTCAAAATCTACATCCGGGGGCCTCCTGAGGAGGAGAGAGAAAAACGGCGGCAGGCTGCTGAAAGGTTCCCAAAGGCTGAAGACCAGCGCTCTCGCCAAGGCCCCTGATCAGGTGCGGACATGGCACAGTCCCATCTCTGGGGGTGCTCGGAGAGCCTCAGAGTGTACCCGGCTCACAGCGGCTGCCCTGCAAACAGCAAGGCCAGGCTCACAGGGTGCACTTGGCCCTCAGAGGCTGGGACCCAGGAAGTGGGGAGCTGGCAAGCTGCCTCCTTCCCCTGGAATTCCATGTCTGGTTTTTGGGCTAGGTCCAAGTACCCCAAGGTCACAGGATGAAAGAAAGGCACTTCCTTAAGCACCTGTCCTGGGCACACCCCTAAACCTCTTCAGACTGGAATCAACCAAAGTGTTGTGTAAAATGCACGTGATTTTTTTTTTAAATTAAGAAAGAAAACCTCTAAAGCATTTGGGGGGCTTCTGGAAAGAATGCCCCACCCTGTGAGGGCCACGGGGGACAAGCAGGAGGACGGGCTGCAGCCGGGCTGCTGAGAGCCCTGGCCAAGGGAGTCGGGCCTCCGGGGAGTGCCAGCTCGCCCTGTCTGTGCTTAGACGCTGACAGAAGGAGAGCACCGGGCCAGACAATGTCTCAGCACTCGAGCGGCGGGCGGGGGGACGACTCTGGGGACTGGACTCTCAAATGCCCTCCTCCCGGGGTGGGGCCCTGGGGACCCCATCACCCGCCCCAGTGCTGCGCGTTGGAGGGCCATGCACTCTGCTCACTGTGCCTGGCTCCGGGGGACCAGCGCCGGCCCCAGGGACACCCGGGGGAGGAGAGGAGGGCGGGCAGCAGGCGGTCATGGCAGGGCTTCCTTACCTCTCTTTTCAGCGGTGCCACGTAGGCCCAGGAGTTGGTGGCGGGGTCGTAGCGCTCCACGGCGTTCAGGTCGTTGTGGTAGTCGCGGGCGGGCCCGCAAATGCCCTCCTCCCGGGGTGGGGCCCTGGGGACCCCATCACCCGCCCCAGTGCTGCGCGTTGGAGGGCCATGCACTCTGCTCACTGTGCCTGGCTCCGGGGGACCAGCGCCGGCCCCAGGGACACCCGGGGGAGGAGAGGAGGGCGGGCAGCAGGCGGTCATGGCAGGGCTTCCTTACCTCTCTTTTCAGCGGTGCCACGTAGGCCCAGGAGTTGGTGGCGGGGTCGTAGCGCTCCACGGCGTTCAGGTCGTTGTGGTAGTCGCGGCCGGCCACGGCGTAGATGTACCTGCCCACGACGCACACACACAGGTCGGCGTGCTCCTGCTGCAGCGACTGGATCTGGAACCAGCGGTTGTGCCGGGGGTCGTACCTTTGGGGGGGACGTGAAGACAGCGGATCGCTGAGCAGATGGGAGGTGGGGGGAGGCAGCCCCGCTTCCCCGGGGCCTCGGCTCCACCTGAACCTTTCCTGGCTCCCCTCGCATGCCAGCGCCCGCCTGGCCAGCAGGCTGCCGCACACCTGAGCAGGCCTGGCCATGAGGCTCCAGGGTTTCTGCCCACACTGCTGGTCCCTCCCGGTGCAGACTTTTCTTCTAGCCCGCTCAAGTGACTATCCCAACAGCTGTTCCTACGGTCACCTCCACCTCACCTGTCTCAGCTCGCGGACTCAGGAAGGCCCACCCTTACGGTGACAGCCTCCCCACCGAATGGGCGCATCAGCCTCCCTCCTCACAGGCCGCGTGGCCTTGAGCCGCCCCAAGGCCCCATCCCCGTGTCTGCTCACGGTGCCCATCATGCCCTCGGCCTTGTCAGCGCCCAGCACACACCAGGCTCCTGTCACCGGATACCACAGTCCTACTGCAGCCCCGTCACTGCTCCCGAGCTCCCTGGCTGGGGGGCGTCCTCTTCCTCTCTGCAAACATGGGAGCGCTGGGGCCAGCAGATGGCGTAGCACCGATGTCCATGGACTCCCACATCACCAACCGTATTCCTTTTTTATAAATTATTTTATTTTAAAAAAGTTTTTTTGGAGAGGTTTTTACTACAGGGCACATGCACTTGCCAGAAAGACAGAGAGAGACAGAGAGATAGAAAGCGAGAAATCACCCCCCCAGGGGGGATGGCCACGCCGCAATCCCTTCTCCTCCATTCTCCTCTCGGGATCTTGGGCACGCACGCACACGCTCCCTGTGTGAGTTTCAAGCCACTGGATCCGGGACGCGAACTGCGGTCGACTACGTGGGAGTCCAGCGACATAGCCATTACGCTAACTGCTGGTCCCATGTTTAAAATTTTATTACTATTATTATTATTTTTCAGTTTGATCAGATAGACAGAGAGAGAGAGGAAAAGTGAGAGAGCAAGCCACCAGGTCCAGGACTTGAACCATGGTCAGCCATGTGGGAACCCAGTGCCTTTAACCACCATGCCACCTGCTGGTCCCATGGCCAACCATATTTCAAGTGCCGGACCCGGTGGCTTCAAACTCACACCAGGCTTGTGTGCGTGCATGCCCAAGATCCCAAGAGGAGAAGCGATTGCGGTGTGGCCATCCTCCCCGGGGGGGTGACTTCTCACTTTCCCTGTCACTGTTTCTGTCCCTCTCTCTCTGGCAAGTCTTCCTGCCCTATGACAAAAACCTCTTAAAAAAAAATTAAAAAGTGTGAGCACCTAATCCGGCCTTGGATGTGGGCAGGTGGAATCCCAAGGGCCAGCCCTGGGGAGAAGATACCTCGCTGGCTGCAGCAGGCCGTGAGGCTGGGGAATCTGGTCTGAGGTAGAGGAGGGCTGCAGGGGAGGCCGCGTGCGAGGGACAGCCCAGGCCCCCGTGGTGAATAAGGGGAGGAGAATCAGGAAGGAGGCTGAGCTCCCAATGAACCTGGCACCCTCAAGTGACTACTGCAGCTCACTCTCCTGACACGGGCCAGTTCACGCCCCTCTCACGGGAAAGGCAGCCACCCCGAGCCACGACCAAATCGTCCCCCACCACTGGCATCTTCATAACAGTGCCTCATCCTCAGGCAGTAGCACCATCGTCCCAGCTGCACGGCCAGAGCGTCCTCTGTCCAGTCCCTTAGGCCGCCTCCCCGCCTGCCTCCACGGGGCCTCCGATTCTCCTTCCTGGCACCTCGGCCACCCGGCATTACCTGCCCCACGTCGTGGGGGCCTCCCGGCCTCTTCCCTGCCTCCCTGTGCCCACAGCAGGGCCCTCGTGAACATGGAGGCACGTGTGCTGTTTGGGTGAACACGGGTGATCACAGGGCCCCTGGGGGACAGGCCAGCCCACTCTGAGCCTGCTGTGCCACTCTT